GGGGGGCAGGACACGGGTCGGGCGGGGAGAGCGGGGTCTCGGACCGAGAGCTGAATAAGTCAACTCCTGTCTACCGCTGCGCACGTCCCAGCAGGAGCCGGCGGGAAGGGGAGAGACGGGAGAGAAGGGAGCGGACGGCTCGGCCACGAGGCTCTCCCGGGGAGAGTCTCCCCTCTTCAGCTCTCCCCCGACTTAATGCCACGCGCCGCCGTAATGCCACGGAAAAGGTTTTTGCACGGCAGGGTTTCTTTTCCTATGAAACTAAAGCAGACTGTGTCGAAGCAGCACGCGCCCTGCCCCGGGGGCCAACACTGTTAAAGTCCCGCAAAAACAATGCTTTAAAAGACGCATTGCGAATCGCGAAGAACTGAGATGCTTTGTAACCACGAAGCGTTTACTTATTTGCAATTACAAAGCGATACTTTGTAATCGCAAAGAAATGCTTAGTGGTTACCAAGGATCGAAATCCAAAGCATCTGCCTTGAAGGAGTTTAACAGTGCAGGGCCCGAGGGTAGTCTGGAGCGGGTCCAACTGCTTTCACCTTGACGAGCTTCTCCTCGGCCTTGGCGACGAACTGCTCGTACGCCTCCCGGGTGCCGAACACCTTCCGGGACTGGATCTTGCGGTGGAACGTCTTCTCCAGGAGCGGGCGCGCCACCTGGCGCCCGAGCACCGAAGCGATGTCGCTGTGCGCCTGCGAGTCCTTCTCGACCTCCTGGAGCAGCATGTCCCACGTCTGGAACAGCGACGTCTGGCACGCCCCTCTGCAAACACAGGAGAAGGCGACGCGCAAATGAGGCGCGGCTCAGGGAAAACAACTCTCTCTCCCTTGAGCTCGGTTTGTTGTCACATCCCACCCCCCTCCCTACAAAAAACAACAAATTAAACAATATATTGATATTTAAATAGGGACACTGTAAAAAATTTCGAGGGTAATTTTACCCTCGAAGGGGACACAACGCTCCTTTACCTCACCAGGGTAAATAAATTTACATACCCATAGCGGTGTAAATTTTACCCACCACTGGGTGGGTGAAATTCTCTACCCAAGGGGTGCTATTTTGTCCTCGTGGGTAGGTAAAAGCGATTTTCATGCCACGAGGATAAAATGAAATTCCATACCCTTTAGATAAAAAACAATCCTACATGCGCTGAATGCCACAACGCCCACCCAGGAGGGTGAAAATGTTCCCCAAGAGGTCGAGCAGTATATGTGAATGAAAAAGAGTGGCCCGTTCTCCGCCTCGTGCCACTTTAGCGAGTTTTATCTGGTGATTTCGGGCCGACAGGACTGTTTCCAATTCAGACGATTGCCGCAATCATTTTCAAAAATTTGGTCATTAATCTCATGGACAGATCAGGCCATCGCAGCGACAAGTGAAGTCACCGCCACATTAGAAGTACGCGCGGAGGTGCACCTCCCTGCGACGAGGTGACGGGGCCGTACGGAACAAGGTGTTGTTGCGGGGACCTCCGGAGCGTTAGAGTTTAACGGATTATTTCTGGGATATGGTTGACTTTTTCGGCAAACACAGATCGTTGCCGGTTAGGGTGATTCCTTGTAAAACATACTGCGTAAAATTAATAGCCATTTTCTCAGGGAAATTTTAATTAAATAGAAAAAGCTCATTTTGTAGGAGACGCGCTGACTGAAACGCCATCTAGCGGCAGTCTATCGCGGGCTTCGCGTCGAGGGGGCCGAGGGCAAAGAAAGGAGGTGATTGGTTCTGAGTGGCGTGGAGTCGGTGGAGTAGTAGGCCGAACCCACCTCTCCTCCCACGATGCTATGGCAGTCACAAATTTGTGGGAAATTTGCAACCGTTGTGTAGCACGGGTAGATGTTTCCTGACCATGTGTGGCAAAATTCCTTCCCGCCGCGTGGAGATTTTCAGGCAGTGGACTGCGCAAGTACACTTCTCCGCCCACGGTCACGGAATTTATACACTCAGTGGTGGTCATGTTTTACCCCTGTGGGTGTAGAAAAGGAACATCCCCTCCAGCAAGGTGAAATTAATTTACCCAGAGTCGGTTAAAATTCACCTGTGTGGGTGTAAAGGGTAATTCACTACCCAAGTAGTAATTTTGTCTCACCACATTATAAGAAATTTACACCCTATCGAGCTAAATAACGTTTTACTCACCCGGTGGGTAGGTAAATCTGAATTACATACCAGAGGGAGAAATTTATCTACACATGGGTGAACAAAATTACCCTGGATTTTTTACAGTGGAAGCAAAACTCTCTCAAGTTGTGCGAATGTACCACTCTCTACAGCGTTACAGACTTACAGCACCCTCTGCATACAGTACCGGGCGGTACCGGGCAAGGGAGCAAAACTCCATTTGTACACATGATTCCCGAAGTACTTGATTACCAGTGATTCCTGTCCGCATAAGTTTTATTTCTTAGGTTTTCCAGTGGCAGAATTCCGCAGAATTCGCTTATTTCGACTAATTTGTGCCAGTTCCACTAGGTCTCCCCTTATTTTAAGCGACTTCTGTTGATTTCGATTGAATTTTATCCTGACGATTTCCCCCAGGCACGTATATACACATGATTCCCGCGGAGTTGTTGCCCCCTCGGTACCGGGTGGTTCAGAGAAGACGCAGGTGCGCTCGGGTCTGCCTACTCGCCTACTCGCTCTGCCCGTAAGGCGGCTTTGCTCCTTTAGGTAGGCACGTGCGTCTTCTCTGAACAACCCGGGGTGTCAACGAGACATAGTACTCCCGGGCCCAGGGACCCCCCTGAGTACATAATCCCTAGGGCAGTTGTACTCCCCCTATAGGGTGGAGTACACCATCCCTAGGACAGTTGTACTCCCCCACCTGAAGGGGGGGTGGAGTACATTGGCCCTAGGGATTATGTACTCCAGGGGGAGTACACCATCCCTAGGGCAGTTGTACTCCCCCACCTCTAGGGGGTGGAGTACATCGACCCTAGGGACCATGTACTCCAGGGGGGAGTACACGGTCCCTAGGGTAGTTGTACTCCCCTACCTCGAGGGGGGTGGAGTACAACTGCCCTAGGGATAGCTAGGGATTATGTACTCAGGGGGGCACCATCCCTGGGAGTACTATGTCACGGTTACACCGGTACACCATAGTGGACAGCAAAAGAAATATGGACAAAAGACCCGTCCTTTCTCCAAACGAAGTCGTTACCAGCCTTACTTCGCACCAAATAGACAACTCCGTTCGGTGAGGGCCGAGCTTGCTTAGACAGTCGTCTGAAAATATTTTATTCCACTTTTGAAGCCTGCCTCTTCTCTTTTTTACCCCCTTTCAACCCCTAAATAGGCGTGAACAGGAGTTGCAACGATTTGCAAGAACCGTTTCGTTGTCCTGGAGTGCCCGTTACGAAAGTACATCCGTCATTCGCCGTTAAGAACCTGCCAAGTTCAGTCTATGCAAGCTCTCATGGCGCCTGGTAGGTAGGCAATATCTTGCCTGCAATTCATGCCTGTACGGCGGGTTAGCCTACACTGAGTCTCGCAGGCGTCGAGCTCTTGTGTTCCGACGAACGAATGTTGGAAAAAGAAAAAAACGGACGTACTTTCTAGACGGATCCTCCTTCAGACACCCTGCAAATTTCAGACCTGTAACTAGCTCACGTCCTTGTTTGGGAAACGGACAGACAGAAAGACAGACATACAGATAGGCAGATAGACAGACTCGACAGCAGACTACGCGGCTATTACATAGGCCGCGGCTGACATATTTTGCTTATACAGAGCAGAAGAGCGGGCTGAAAAGTGGGGGAATAGCCTTTCGCGGCCAACCCTCGTCACCTGTCTTTCCGAAGCTCTGCATTTCTCTTCCGGTAGCCGGCCACCAGCATCTGCAGCTCCTCAGCATGCCGCTCGTACAGCTGCGACAGCTCCGTGGTGAAGTCGGACACTGCAAACAGAGACAAAGAGAGTGTGTATAGAACCTCTGCGGGGCATTGGAAGGAAAACGAGTGGGTTCGCTATCAGCCCGATCCGCGAGCGGAGTCCTTAAGGACCCTCCCCCACCCCCACCCCTGCCGAGCGATGACCCCCCGCGGGCACGCGGTCCCGCCGCCGCCACCGCCGCCGACAGCCGACAAAATATCGCCACAGCCACCCACGCCCTGCCGCAGACCCGCCGCAGCGCCCCCCCCCCTCTCTCTCCCGCTACAACCAGGCTACGCCCAATTACGGGCCCTCGTTTCATTATTTCCTCCGGTTAGAAACGTCCCTCTGATGCGCAATATTAATCATTGTTCTTGGTAGTGCGGATTAAACAAACAAGAACAACCGCGAGCAACCCTCGCGGAACAACCACTCTCACTCCCTCCCTCTTTCTCTCTCCCCACTTCTCTCTCTCTCTCTCTCTCCCTCCCTCTCTCTATCTCCATGTCGCTCTTTCATGAGTGTGGGTTGGAGAGCAAGGAGGGACTACTACTTGACTGCTCGTGTTACTGAAACAAAAGGGGTGGGAGCGGGGGGTCAGGCGGGCCGGCCGGGTCCCCCCGCTCCTGCCCCGCCCCGCCTCGACCCACCCTGCCCCCTCATTGTCTGCAGTTCGTACCGCCTGAGCTCCTCAGTGTGCCTCCACAAGGCCCCATTATGCCGACCAGTTTGACAGGCTAAATTGGGTGAAGAGAGGAGGTGAGGGGAGAGGGCCCTCGCGACGTCATTCGCTTTATCCGCTGCTGCGACTACTCGAACGTGCAATAGTTCAGCTTACGCAAAGAGCTTTTTCCGCTATAGTGCGCGCCGCACTGCACAGAGTGGGGAGTGGGGAGGGCGTGGAATTGTGGACGTCACCATCATGTGGAGAGGAGCGTCCCGGCGCGAGACAGCTTATTGCCGTATCGGCTCTTGACATTTTAAACAAAAGTCTAATCACTGACATCGCCATGCCCGGCACACACACACACACAAACGCAGCGTAGTTGTGATCAAAGCGTTTTGACAGACAGCTGGGAGTGGCGTGGCGTAGCGTGGCCTGGTCTGGCCTGGCCCCGCACAGCAGCACGGGGGGTCTGCCCCGGATGGCATGCATATTTGACGGGTGCTTGTCCGATCAGACGGCGTAGCAGGGAATACCAGAACGCGGTGGCGTGGCGTGGCGGCGAGGTGAGGCGTTCCCATAGGCTGGAGGCCTGTGGCGGGGCGGGGCGGGGCGGGGCGTGGCGGAGTTGGACCGGAACACGGCGCTGGCATTGTTTAACCATGTTCTCGTCCCGTCCCTTACCCAACGAGCCGACGACCGGTGGCGGTCCTTAGAGAAGCGCAAAAATAAACTAGTAGGCCTACTACGCCTTTTTGCGGCCCCCAAAACCGCGTGGGCGAAGTTGAGAAAATGAGCGAAATGTCATTTGCGTAGGATGAGCAAAGGAGCGTGGTCTTTTGGTTAGGCCCGTTCTGCCGACATTTCCTCATTTTCTGTCCCTCACTTTATTGTTTTGTCATTTTCTTTTAGTCATTTTCTTTTAGTTATTTTCTTTTTAGGTGTGTGCCTGGCGCGGTGGGCGCCGGCGTCGCAGACGATAGCCAAGAGCAGACGACATTCCGAAGAAGACGGACTCCACCTCGTAGTGGGATTGCAGTCGTGGCTCTCCCATTGCTTTGTCAGGGGCGTTGGCGGAAGTGTTCGAAAACAAAACGTGAAGAAAAACACATTAAGTAAAGTGTATGTGATTGCAATTTCCCTGCTGGCAACTTTTAGAGTATCTAATCTACACGAAGAGCGAAAACTGGAACAAACAAAAATAAAAAAAACAACTAAAAATAAACACCCGAAAATAAAGCTTATAAGTCGTGCTTTTACCCTGCAGGGGTGCTAACGAAATCTTCAGTTTACTGCCTCTTTAAAGAGAGTAAAGAGCTGTAAAGGTGCTAAAAGTTAGTGCCTTTGTCAATGCACTAACGTTTTAGTGCATTTTAAAGGTAGGAATTAAGCACCTCTGTTTTTCCAGTGTATTTTCACGAGACAGAACGCGGCAACGCGGGCTTCACGCGGCCAGATACAATAATGCAGATAATCAGGATGCGCCAAAATCGGCGGGAGCAAAGCCAACTATTAACAGCGACTGGTAATCTACTTCCGCAGCCCAATACCGCCGGACCACGCGCATAGACCGCCGAACCCACACACCATCACACACAGACACACACACATTGGCGGAAGCCTCATGAGAAGAGACCCAGGTGTACTCGAAAACTAGTCGCCATGCACTAGGTTTCAAACACGAGCGAAATGGCGGTACTTTGGTTAATTCGACTTTAGCAAACTGATGCAGCACCTTACGAAGAAAAGAACGCTAAGTGAGGAGAGATAAGAGTTTTTGATAAAAAGTGGATGTATCCAGCATATGTAACTAACTCATATTTGAGTGTGTCGAGTGTTCTCTGAAATTCAGTGACTCCTTTGGCTTTCTTTAGAACGAGCGAATACCCAAAAGCCATGCTTTTCGCCAGCATACAGGGCTCAAGCACGTACTGTGTTTTGCCCAGTTAGATAAAAACAAAGTTCAAATATTACACAAGCAATTTGGCAATCTTGTACACAAGAGAGTTGAGGCCGCCTCGGCGTTCCGGCTCTGTTCGCGACAGTGCACCCTCCCTGCCTCTCTTCTAGCCTTACACGCATCTCGCGTATCCGCCAGGCGGTACAACTTACCCGGAGCGGTGGTCCCCTCCCCCCAGCCCCCTCACACACACACGACACACACGCCAGGAGAAAATGCCTCCTACTCTCATCCCGTGCGGTTTCCAAGGATGGAAAAACTTTCTGGGGATGGGAAAACGAGTTCGGAGAGAGAGAGAGAGAGAGAGAGAGAG